TTTTTTTTTTTTTTTTTTTTTTTTTTTTTTTTTTTTTTTTTTTTTTTTTTTTTTTTTTTTTTTTTTTTTTTTTTTTTTTTTTTTTTTTTTTTTTTTTTTTTTTTTTTTTTTTTTTTTTTTTTTTTTTTTTTTTTTTTTTTTTTTTTTTTTTTTTTTTTTTTTTTTTTTTTTTTTTTTTTTTTTTTTTTTTTTTTTTTTTTTTTTTTTTTTTTTTTTTTTTTTTTTTTTTTTTTTTTTTTTTTTTTTTTTTTTTTTTTTTTTTTTTTTTTTTTTTTTTTTTTTTTTTTTTTTTTTTTTTTTTTTTTTTTTTTTTTTTTTTTTTTTTTTTTTTTTTTTTTTTTTTTTTTTTTTTTTTTTTTTTTTTTTTTTTTTTTTTTTTTTTTTTTTTTTTTTTTTTTTTTTTTTTTTTTTTTTTTTTTTTTTTTTTTTTTTTTTTTTTTTTTTTTTTTTTTTTTTTTTTTTTTTTTTTTTTTTTTTTTTTTTTTTTTTTTTTTTTTTTTTTTTTTTTTTTTTTTTTTTTTTTTTTTTTTTTTTTTTTTTTTTTTTTTTTTTTTTTTTTTTTTTTTTTTTTTTTTTTTTTTTTTTTTTTTTTTTTTTTTTTTTTTTTTTTTTTTTTTTTTTTTTTTTTTTTTTTTTTTTTTTTTTTTTTTTTTTTTTTTTTTTTTTTTTTTTTTTTTTTTTTTTTTTTTTTTTTTTTTTTTTTTTTTTTTTTTTTTTTTTTTTTTTTTTTTTTTTTTTTTTTTTTTTTTTTTTTTTTTTTTTTTTTTTTTTTTTTTTTTTTTTTTTTTTTTTTTTTTTTTTTTTTTTTTTTTTTTTTTTTTTTTTTTTTTTTTTTTTTTTTTTTTTTTTTTTTTTTTTTTTTTTTTTTTTTTTTTTTTTTTTTTTTTTTTTTTTTTTTTTTTTTTTTTTTTTTTTTTTTTTTTTTTTTTTTTTTTTTTTTTTTTTTTTTTTTTTTTTTTTTTTTTTTTTTTTTTTTTTTTTTTTTTTTTTTTTTTTTTTTTTTTTTTTTTTTTTTTTTTTTTTTTTTTTTTTTTTTTTTTTTTTTTTTTTTTTTTTTTTTTTTTTTTTTTTTTTTTTTTTTTTTTTTTTTTTTTTTTTTTTTTTTTTTTTTTTTTTTTTTTTTTTTTTTTTTTTTTTTTTTTTTTTTTTTTTTTTTTTTTTTTTTTTTTTTTTTTTTTTTTTTTTTTTTTTTTTTTTTTTTTTTTTTTTTTTTTTTTTTTTTTTTTTTTTTTTTTTTTTTTTTTTTTTTTTTTTTTTTTTTTTTTTTTTTTTTTTTTTTTTTTTTTTTTTTTTTTTTTTTTTNCTAATAAGTGAAACAGCCACAATGTCTTGAATTTAGACAATAGAAATAGTTTATATTTAAAAAATAAATTTATGACATTAAAGAAGACTTCCTAAAAGTAATACTAAAATAATAGATATATACTCTATTTACATGTGGATTAGCAGGAGCATTTGGTCAGAATCTCAAAAATATTTGTTTCAAATTAATTTCCTTTCATTATATTTCTTAGATGTTATCATTGGTTTTTGTCAAATTTTACTGTTTAAAAAGTTAAAATTTTAATTCCTTTTGTAATATAGTGGGGTCTTAAAATTATTTGATCTCTTGACTACTAAGAAATCCTGTTCAAAAGATAGATATGATTGAATAATTTGTTTTTCTTGCATTATTCTAGTACTCTCCAACTAGGATTGTACAGTATAGTACAGTACAGTACATTATGTAATTTATAAACCAAAATTAAACACATGTTCAATAACTATATAACTATAACTATAGCTCAAACTGATAAGCATCAGATGTTTCTGTATTATCCAAGGACTTTTTCATTTTATTTTTATGTTCCTGAAGATGAATAAAGAGAGTTTGGTGAAATTTGTGATTTCTTAATAATTTTTCTTCTATGTATTTGCTTTGTGGAAGCAAATGGATATTATTTTTAATAATAAAATTAATATAAATTTGACAAAAGTACATTACTGTATATTCTTATTTATTTACAAAGCTATCTAACGTATTTTCACAAATTGTTTCAAAATAAAGTATTAATTGAAAATTATTAAAAGCCTAAATTTTAATAGATTAGCTGCAGATAATAATTATTATTTCCTCATAAATTATATAAATTTTACTATATGATTATAATTATTCTTAAGCTTATTAGATCTTTTCCATAGAAATATCATTGATTTTTTTTTTAGATATTTTAAAAATTTTAAGGTCTACATCTTAACATCTTAACTTTACTGTAACTTTGCTATAAATTAATACTAAAATAACTCTTGCATAATTTATGAAAAATCATATCTAGTATTCATTCTTCCTCTTTTTTGAGTTTAATTTCATGTTAATTTAAAAATCAATATTTAGATGTACAGATAATAGATAAATATTTTGTCATATTCAGGGTTTTCAGGATCATGAAAGTATTTTTATACTGTGATATTTATTATTTTTAATTCTCTTGCAGATCGAGTTTAAAATGTAGAACCCTAATACAATGCATTAAATGCAAAATTGTTTCTGTTCCTGTTTTGTATAAATCATATTATACAGATATCATAATGAAATAATAAGTTTGAAAAGATAAAAAAAAAATCACATTAAATTCTATTTTTCTATCTTTCTTGGAATAATTCAAATAGTGAGTTGAGAATAAGTATTATATGCTATAATAATATCCAATTAATATCTTGATACAATTACAAAAGGGAATCAAAATAACATCTATGTATAATTATTTTTATAACAATTTCAAAACACTGAAGGAATCTTTGTGATCATCAGATTCAATTTTATTCAAAACTTTTTGTAAAAACTATTCAAAAATATTTTTCTTTCACAATATTTGATGAAAAGATATTTCATTTTGATTTTGAAGAGATTCATTCTATTCATTTGTTGCTATGGCAGTGTTGAAAAAAGATAATTGGTTGGTTATAGAGTTTTATTATTTCACAGCTTATCTTCAAATAATCAGTAGTCTTTTTAATAGTTTTAGACTTTGGAATTTAAAGAAATTAATAATAATTCTATTTTACATAAAATTAGTTNCTATGCATTACAGTCGTATAACCTGACAGAAGTGCCATCATCTTTGCCAGACAGCTGTCACATTAATTTTTTTATTTTATTATTAAGGGAATGAAAAAGTGTGAAATGTTTCTCATAACATTATATTTGTCAGTATGATAAATTCTGTTGTCATCACCACATCAAAAACTGAAATTAAAAATGTCATCCTCATTACTTATCAAATATGATACAACAATTTTTTTAATAACTTTTTAATCACTTTCTTGTTAAAAATAAGAATTTATTTTTTTAAGTTTAATAACATCAAAAATTTTAAATAAATAAGAATAAGTTTTTATTTTTAATTATCATAATAAACTTTTATGATAATTAAAAAAAATTTAGCATAAATTTTGTTTCAGTTAATTCCATATAAATGTAGAGAATACTACAATATAAAGCTTTTAAGTTGATTTAATTGCTGTATTTATTATTAGGTTATCTAGATATCGGCTACACTCAGATTTACTGTTATTTTATAAGTTAAAAAATAAACAATAAATAAAAATTTAAAAAACTGTTTTATTATTATCATTAAGTAAATAATTTCTACTTTGAATTAAAACAAATATTTCACTAATGTATTTCTATGCTGAAAGATATTATCTGAAATTGGTTTGGCATTGTGCATTGTACAGCCACTTGAGACACACTTAAAATAGAATGGAACAGTACCATTAGTCCCTCCATCAACTATGTAGCCTATTACTATTCTTAGTACTTGTCTGACACACTTAGATATTATGTGTTAGTGAGTATTGAATTTCCAAAGATCTCATAAATGCTTACTGAGCCAAATCTTTTATGTTACATTTTCTTTTGATATCTTTGTCAATCATCATTTAAGTTTCTTCTCTGGACACATGTTTATTTGAATGTCTTAAAGGTGTTTATATCATAGATATTATAATTGTAATTAAAATAAAATAACAAAAATAAAAGCATTTATTTTAAACAAATTCGCAGGAGGTTGTTTCTCCGAAACTAAGCAAAACAAAAGATATTTTAATCTTTAAAATTGAAAAAATTAAATAGAAGTTGTTTAAATTAGTCACAGCCATTTTTCAAAACTTACCTAATCGATTAAGGCCATGACTATAATGACCTCGATAATCTGCTGCAACAAGAACATCCACTAACTGCTGTGAATGTTGTTTGTCAGTACCTACTTTTTCCATACATCGGACCATAAAATCTTTCATATTAGACAACGAAACTAATTTCGACTCCATGTTTAAATATTCAAACGATGAAAATCTGGAAACTGTATTTCTCGAAAATATTAATTGTTTCCCTAGCTTCGTTACAATGATTTTCAAGTACATATTACGGAATAGAATAGATAATAGGTTATTCGATTATCAGTTTGTGGCATTTCACAATAAACATGATTTTTTATCCTGATTTTTTATTACTTTGCACGTTCGTATATTGATTTGATAGCAAAATCTATGTTTTTTTAAAAAATTATATTACAACATAATTTTAAACGTCGGATAATGTTTTTTTTTTAGAATAAGTCTAAAAGACACATCGTAGACAAAGTACCAGACACTTAAAAAAAACTGTTAGGAATATTCAAGAAAAACAATACAATACAGTCGTTAGTTAATTTTAAACAGCGATTTATTAGTAAAAATATTTGTAGATAAATCGTATTATTCGTTGTGTTTTTTATAGTAATGGTGTTTATGAACCCACCCCCCACGAGCGGTTCTACGGTAAACAAAACAGAAAACGAAATTATTCTCCCCTAACGGTTATATGACGAATGACATTCCTCTCTATATCTGGATCTTTGCTCCCCAGCATCTCTGCATCATCCGCGCAATCTCAGTTCATCGCATCACGCGAACTCGTTTACTGGAAGTGGTTAGTCTTGTTTCATCTTTTAATCGTAATTTTTAATTAAATTATCAAAATGAAACTCGACCCGGAAGCTTTCCTTGACCTTGCGAATCAAGTGACCAAACTTAATATGTTTCCATATTTTGATATGGCCCACTGTATCATCACGTGTCTTTACCTCAGGGATGATTTAGCTGCTGGTGAGTGGAGTCACAGAGCCATTTGATCAATTCTTTGGTTAGTACTATTCTGCTAAGTTAAATGCACTGCTTTGGTTTAGAGTTATTCTTATAATTTATTAACGTTTAGCTAAACGAAAATTGTCTTTATTATTAAAGCTTTAAAGTAGTTGTATTATGTTTAATATATAATTTTTAATCGTAAAAAAATAGATTTTTAACAATGTATCTTTTCTTACTTCGTTTAAATATACAGTATATACAATAGATTATTGTTATATTTAAATTCTTACTATAAGTCTATAACAAAGCTTTTAGAACAATAGCAATTATCTGGTTCAGTGCCCCACTAAAAGTTTGCCAGGTGTGCTTTTTGCAAAGAATTATGTTGGCAGTAGAAACTATGCATTACAGTCGTATAACCTGACAGAAGTGCCATCATCTTTGCCAGACAGCTGTCACATTAATTTTTTTATTTTATTATTAAGGGAATGAAAAAGTGTGAAATGTTTCTCATAACATTATATTTGTCAGTATGATAAATTCTGTTGTCATCACCACATCAAAAACTGAAATTAAAAATGTCATCCTCATTACTTATCAAATATGATACAACAATTTTTTTAATAACTTTTTAATCACTTTCTTGTTAAAAATAAGAATTTATTTTTTTAAGTTTAATAACATCAAAAATTTTAAATAAATAAGAATAAGTTTTTATTTTTAATTATCATAATAAACTTTTATGATAATTAAAAAAAATTTAGCATAAATTTTGTTTCAGTTAATTCCATATAAATGTAGAGAATACTACAATATAAAGCTTTTAAGTTGATTTAATTGCTGTATTTATTATTAGGTTATCTAGATATCGGCTACACTCAGATTTACTGTTATTTTATAAGTTAAAAAATAAACAATAAATAAAAATTTAAAAAACTGTTTTATTATTATCATTAAGTAAATAATTTCTACTTTGAATTAAAACAAATATTTCACTAATGTATTTCTATGCTGAAAGATATTATCTGAAATTGGTTTGGCATTGTGCATTGTACAGCCACTTGAGACACACTTAAAATAGAATGGAACAGTACCATTAGTCCCTCCATCAACTATGTAGCCTATTACTATTCTTAGTACTTGTCTGACACACTTAGATATTATGTGTTAGTGAGTATTGAATTTCCAAAGATCTCATAAATGCTTACTGAGCCAAATCTTTTATGTTACATTTTCTTTTGATATCTTTGTCAATCATCATTTAAGTTTCTTCTCTGGACACATGTTTATTTGAATGTCTTAAAGGTGTTTATATCATAGATATTATAATTGTAATTAAAATAAACAGATTTATATTATTAGATTCCAATCCTTATAAAACAGGAATTTTAAATCTTTTATTTTTATAGGGACTCATGTATTTTCAAGGAAACATCCATTAAGTTGTTGGGCATCATGTATGTTATCCATTTTTGGAGGTGTTATATTATCAAACTTCCTATTAGGTGAACCTGTTCTTGCACCTTTCAAAAGTACTAACTATTTGCTATTAGCAACACTTGCTTGGTAAGATTTAGTAGTTTACTAGATGCTTAGTTATTGCATAACTAGTTTTAAATAAAAAATTGCTTTGCTGTACTAATTATTGACTTATTAAATAAAAAGTAGAAAAGAATGATTTTACAATGCAAAATTTAAATTTAATCTCCAATAAATAAATAATTTGAAAATTATAATTATACAGGTATATAACATTTTATACTCCATTTGATTGTGGATACAAATTATGCAAATTTTTACCGGTCAAGCTTATACTATCCATCATGAAAGAAGTTGTCAGAGTTCGTAAGGTACATGATGGTGTTGTTCATGCTGCAAAAGTTTACCCCAATGGATATTTGATTATGATCATCATTGGCACCACAAAAGGTATGCTAATAAATTTATTTCATTCATTAAATTCTGGAATTTGTTATTGATTAAATTTTTATATTTTAGGAAATGGTGGAGCATTCTTAAAAATTCTGGAAAGATTATTCAGAGGGGTATGGACACCATCTGCCATGGAATTGATGCAAATAAGTTTGTAAGTATTATAAATATGAAAATTTAATCAAATTCATAAACGATATATTATCATAAATTTATTTATTCTACAGTCCAACAAAAGCTTGCATTGCTGCTTCTATAATCTTTATTGTCGACAAGAAGACCGAACTCATTTCTGCGCCCCATGCTCTTGTTTATTTTGGTGTTGTCATTTTCTTCATTTACTTTAAATTATCGTCTGTACTTCTGGGCATTCACGATCCATTTGCTCCATTTGAAAACTTATTCTGTTTCATTTTTCTGGGTGGAATTTGGGACACATTAAGTCGTTTCATTGCTTCTGCCAGAGGAGGAGAAACTCAATCTAAACCAGAACCTGCAAAAGAAGTCAAAGTTGAAGCAGCTAAAAAGAAAGAATAATTTATTTAGGTAAAGAATTAAGTTTTGAATAAAAGTGCAGTTGGAATTTAAATATTGTTTTAATTTTAATCAATAAACATTCTTATATTAAAAATATTTATAATAATTTATAGTTTCATAATAACTTTTTATGCTTCAACTGTACTTAACTGTAAATTCATAAAATTTTTTTTATTTTAAACATATATAAAATTTTACCAATTGATGCATTAATTAATCAATAAATTACTATTATTTACTCTTACAGATTTGTTTGTACAAGAAACAAGAATGATCCTGAAACAAAGACATTGTGTTCACCAGTCAAAATGTCAATATCATTTGTATTTTTAGATTGCTAATTTTATTTTCCCCATCATGTAATTGTTATATATCCAATTTCATATTAGACTGTGAGATTAATATTTTGTAAATGTTTCCAATATTAATTACTGCTTTAGAAATATATATCATTTTATTAAATGTATTAAGTACATTAATATACACAAAAATTATAATTTGCATTTAAAATCAGAATATATAATAGAATTCAATTTTTAAATATAAAAATTTATTAACAATACTTATCCATTTTATGTGTTACCTTATATTTTTATTTTCTCAGTTTACTGTACAGGAATGTTCTGTATGGAATACTTAATGATATTTTGTGTATTGTTGTGTTTATTCTTTAAAACTTGTATGTAAAAAATTATTTTTTGTCTTAGTGACAACTTTATAAAAAAAAGAAAAAATGTCTTTTATTTTTAGATTTTTTTAAAAACTAACTGGAAATTTGGATGGATATGTTAACATAAAGTTACATCACTTCTTAGTTAATTCATCAATATAAAATGATTGATAGTTATTTTATAATTAGTATTATTTACGGTTTAAAGAATGTAACAAGAATTGCTTTTTCAGCATTTTTATATAATGATAGTAAGTAAAAATAATTCAAGTAAAGTATTTCAAGGTCAGAACAGAGATTTTCAAGATGTTTCTATTAAAATTAGTTTAAAATGTGTAATAAATTTGTGTTTTATACTCAGTAATTATTTCTTCTAATTGAAATTAATTAATTTGTAGATCAACTTCTATATTATCTCTAAATTAAAATATTCACACCAAAAATAATTTTAGTAACATGAACTTAGTTAGTAAATCATCAATATCGTAAAATAATGATTAAAATTCCATTAGAATGATAATATAAATACAGTACTGTAATATAAAACTGATAAAACTGTGATTTAGAAAATTTGAATATCTTCTCTTAATTTTATAGATATTTAAAATAGTTTTCAAATACTGATTACTTATTTCAAAATAAAATTAAAATATCGAATTTTGTTCCATGATCTATCATAAGTTGAACATAAAAAAATGATGCTAATAAAGGAAAATGGTTTCAAAGGGTGCATATGAAATTCTATATAAAGTATATACAGTAAGATATTGTAATCAGGTGATGACTGGTGTAGAATAATAAAGATCAAAATAACAAAATATATATAAACTAAAGTTTACAGTTTTTTCAGCAACTACAGGCTTAGACCTAGTGCAAACTGAATAATTGAATATCATTACCTATTCATCAATAATAATAGATAATCATATATGACTACCTACTAACCATAATAAAAATTTAACATTAACCAATGGAATTCAGTATTTAATCAATTATTGATTGATTAAAAACATACTTGACACAATAGAAAAAGATTCCGCTAATAGACACATAGCTGAACATGATATCTAATCATCATAAATCATATAAACATGAGAATGTGGAAAAATTATATATAGAAAAGAATATGATTTATTATGATTAACACCGCTTCAGCTGAATCTCTTCCTATTGTGTAAATATTTTTTAGTCAATCAATAATTGATTAAATATAGAATATCATTTTTCTAAGAGTTATTTATACGTTTTTGTTCGTTGTGCTAAACACTTAAGAAAACAGAAGCGATTTGTGAAATTAAAAATAACCTATAGCAAAATAGTTATTTATTGATAATGAGCTTTTAGCATTCAATAGTTTTATTATCTGATTCATAGTTCGCATTTTCCACATATTAAAAAAAATGGTTTCAGATCCAGATGATGAATGGTGATGAAACGGAAGTTTTGGAAGTTGTATTGAAATAGGGATTTCGTTCCCTTGTATAGTTTATTTGGAAGTATATACGTGTTGTTGATAATAGGACGTTACAATTAATTTTTTTAGTTCTTGCGCAGATATGCATAACTCTGTTCTTAGGCTAATCTCTAAATTAGATCCAAGTGGCTAAAGTGGTAACCTATCAGCTATCGCTCTGGAGGACCCGGAATTTTCATGGGCGGTCTGTTCCATCTATGTTGGACCATCTATTCTTCACTACCCATTCTCCCAATATGGGCCTGACCGAACTCTATGGGTAGGATTAAAAAACCCTTTTACTGCCCAAAGGGCAAATAGAGAGAATCTGAATCAATTTTTATAAACATAAGCAATTATATTTCTAATAAATCTTCGTTAAAATCATTTATGTATCTATAAAACATTATTTATAGTATAGTATACATTTAAACAAACTATTTTTTAAATTTAAAAATATAAAATTAAGATTTACTTAAATTTCCAATATCTTGTTTATTACAAAGCAGTTTACGTGAAACAATACATACGAAACAACCAACATCAATAAAATTGGACCGTATTTTTTAACAATAGTAAAGAATTTCTATATTATTCAAAACAACTTTCAGAGGATTCTGTGCATTGTTTAATCTAAAAATAAGTAATTATGTCGAAATATTTTTATGATAAAATAACTCGTGACCAGGTAAGTATTAAATTTTTTATCATTGTTGTTATTATTTTATACAAGAAAAACTTTTACTTTAGAATATATTAATTCAAGAAGTGGATGAAGGACAACGATGCCTCGAATGCAAAGAAAGGTGTTCTGGATTTAGCCCTCATCCTTGGAGGTAGCATCAAATACTGTTGTTATTAAAATACACTATGTTAATGTGTGTTATATTTTTTCTAGAATTAACTGTGATAACTGTAAATGTCCACGGTATTCTCATGATCTTTATCATCAGGATTTTGTCGATGTTCGAAACAAAATCGGTTTAAAGTCACAAGATCCTAATAATAAGATTTTGAAACAAAAAACATTAGAAACGGGTTATTCTTGGATCCCAGTTGGATTAAGTAGTCAGAAGGTGAGGTAAACTCCGAATAAATCTAAAGCTGAAATCATTCTTATAAATCTATCAGCCAAATTGCTGTACAGTAAGATGTTTTCCTAAAACCGTGAAAGATTCAGATTCGAATCCTATTTGGAATCTTTGGATCATTTATTATTTTTTTTTTCGGATCGGGTTTGAATTCGGATGTCACATGATGGAGAACCGTGAGAAATCCGAATGGGTCCTATTGTGAGCCATCGTTCATCAAATCCATAATGAGAATGGAAAAATTTCCTCTTATATCTGCAGGGTGAAAAAATGGAACAAGAGCCTTGTATAACTATGTTGCAAAGAAAGCTGGATGAGGAGAAAATGTAGGTTTGTTGTGGACAGGGCCGTGCCGTGCTATGATGCAGAGATGCGGCCGCATCAGGCGGCACCGTAATGGGGCGGCATAAGCAGCATTTAAGGGCATAAGCGGCATTTCGAAGACTTGCATCATACTTAGAAAATCTACCGCACGGCCCTGGTTGTGGATTAGGAAAAACCTGTAATGGTCTAAATTGAGACTGCGTACAGCCATTATAAACTATGCCAAACGTTATAAAATCAATATACAGGGTGGTTATAATTAAAGTTGCGCTACTCAGACCTATCTAGAGCCCGTTCTCGTGGACGTATTTTGATGAAACTTAGTATATATGTTATATGGACCATGAGGAAAAGGAAATGCAAAAAATATTTAGTTCGAATTTTTACCACTAGGTGAAAAAATGGCGCATGAAGAACAAGAAACATAAAATGGAAACACGCAAAAGGTTTTTATTCACATTTGTTTAATGTGCAATCCATTTGCATCAATCACATGTTCAAAACGCCTTACAATGTTGGTAAAAATTCGAACTAAATATATATATTTTTTTTGCATTTTCCTTTCCCCCATGCTCCATATAACATATATATCAAGTTTCATCAAACCACGAGAACGGGCTCTAGACAGGTCTGAGTAGCGCAACTTTAATTATAACCACCCTGTATTTCCTAAACTAATTCTGATGAAAGTTGAAAATTATTCTTGCAGATCCGTGATTATTTCTTACAAATTCCTGCTGATAAAGTACCTCGATTGGGAACTCCTGGAGAAAAATATCGGGATCAACAACTGATGATTCAGCTTCCAAAACAGGATTTCGCATTATATTATTGCCGATTTTTGGATCGCGAGTATCAAACTAATTATGAAGAATTTATTAATAATCGAAACGAAAAGGCATTAGATATTGGTAACGTAAAAAGTGCTGTAGAACAAACAACGGTATAAAATTGAAGATTTGACATTAAATTCTCAATTCTGTATGTTCAATTTTATCTTCTTAACTACTTAGGAGTGCTTTCAATGTGGAGGAACGTTGATCAGAGGAGACATTGCAATAATTACTTCAAAATTTGGAGAAAGAGTTATGTGGCATCCATCTTGTTTCGTTTGTTGCGTATGCAATGAATTGTTGGTAGATCTCGTGTACTGTGTAAAAGATCGAAAATTATATTGTGAACGTCATTATGCAGAAGAAATTAAACCTCGTTGTGCGGCTTGTGATGAGGTTAGTATCACAAAAATCTGCATTTACTATACAGTACAACAAAATCATAACTTCCAATCTCTTTTCAGCTCATTTTTGCCAGAGAATACACCAAGGCTATGTCCAAAGATTGGCACATCACTCATTTTTGTTGTTGGAAATGTGACGAATCCCTGACTAGTCAACGCTACGTGATGAAAAAAGAAAATCCATATTGTATCCGCTGTTTCGAAAGAACATACTCGAATATTTGTGACGAATGTGGACGAAAAATCGGAGTTGATTCAAAAGTATAATTTTATGAAATTTCTTATTTCAATCACTTCGACATCTCTAAATACATTTGCATTAATTTACAATAGGACCTTTCGTATAAAGATAAACATTGGCACGAAAGTTGTTTCGTGTGTTTCAAATGTCAGGATCAACTTATCAATAAACCCTTTGGTTCGAAAGGAAACAAAGTTTACTGTTCTTCGTGTTACGATAATTGTTTTTCCAGTAGGTGTGATGAATGCAACGAAGTATTTCGAGCAGGTTTGTTACGTTTTATTCTTTAATGCGTAAAGTAATAATATTATAAAATTTCAAACTATCACGATATGTTTAAGGCACTAAAAAGATGGAATATAAAGGCAAACACTGGCACGAGAAGTGTTTCTGTTGCTCGGTCTGCAATAATCCGATCGGAACAAAGAGTTTCGTTCCGAGAGACAACGTAATCTATTGCACCATCTGTTACGAGCAAAAATTTTCTATCAGATGTAATAAGTGCAATCAGATAATAACAACCGGCGGAGTGATTTACCGCAATGAACCGTGGCACAGAGAATGTTTCCGTTGTACTAATTGTCAAAAGTGTCTAGCGGGCCAACGTTTCACTACTTACGAAGAAAAACCTTATTGCGCTGACTGCTTTGGAGAATTGTTTGCCAAAAGATGTACCGTGTGCAACAAAGCTATCGCTGGTAAAATACATATGATTTATAAACATTTCATAACAAAATTTAAGTTTTAATCGAATTTTATTTTAGGTCTCGGAGGAACCCGATTTATATCTTTCGAAAGTCGAAATTGGCACAAAGATTGCTTCTTGTGTACCACTTGTAAAACGTCATTAGTCGGAAAGGGGTTCATAACCGATGGATCGGACATCCTTTGTACCGAATGTGCCAAACGCAAACTTACCTAAGAATTAATTTTTTTTTTTGTTTATTTAGTTTTTGATGGAGTGGTTTCAAAAATTTAAACTGAATTAAATTTGAAGCATGAAAAAACTAATAATTTATATAATTTTTAAAAATTTCGTGAGTGGTTGAAATGATTTTCAGAATAAAATGAAAGTCAAATCACTTGTCAAATCTTACTGAAAACTGCTTATATACAGCGGCGGCCTTATCCATTGCGACGCCCTGGGCGGCAGATCTTTGCGAGGCCCTTGTCCTTTGTGCAAAGTATGTGAATTGAAATAGTAGGCACTTATTAATATTAATATATACTGTACTATAAATTAAATTTATTTTATTGTTATAACTAATAGCCAAGGATAAAATAAAAAGTTTTAAATATCAACTTTTTTCTACTTGGTTGTTGCGCGAGGCCCCTCCAAGAGCGAGGCCCGGGCGATTGCCCTGCTCGCCACCCCCTAAGGCCGCCACTGCTTATATATATAGTGTATAAATGAAGATTCGATCTGAACTATTGATAAGAGGATCCTGATAAGATACTCTTATATCAATATATATTTCGTTAATTTACTAAGGAAATAACTATATAATTTTTATCGATTTATATACTTTGCGTATTCATTTATATTGTTATTTTTCTGTAGTTTCATTTCATATACTTTAGGTTTTTCTGTCGTCTTTCCAGGCCCACGCCAATGGTCGCATGGAACAGTGGGGTCGTGGGTTTGCGCCTGAACAACGGGTTAGTCAGGTAGAATTTTTCAGGTTTTCTTCACCTAACTAGGGTCAGATTTCCATAGGAAGTCCTTCCGAGAGACATCCGCCTTGGCACCAAATCATTTGCATTGCTATATCCCATAAAAACCAAGCCAAACCTCTTTTCCCCCTAAGAATACTAAGATAGCCTTTTTTCCAATTCTAACACGATTATAAGGAACAAGAATACTAACATCATTCTCAGAGACCGTTGTAAAGTTAGAATGTTTTTGATCATATAGATTTTTTTAAAACTTTTTCATGGCCATTCGATGTCATTACTTTGATTCTGATGTTATTGTTCTGTTGTAATATTGAAGGAAAAGCTTGAATGTTGTAATATTTTGCAGTTTTATCTTAGTTATAAAAGTCAATAAATATATATTGGACTGCATTACGAAAATTGCATTCAATATTTATTTATTGACTATTGTAAATGAAATATAAATTCACACTGGAGTCTGTTTGTCTGTCCTTTCTTAATCTGTAGAACGCAGTTAGATGAAGTCGAGAACAGATATGGAAAGGTATTTCAGTAAGCTCCGATTAACTGTATACATAAACTTCCGGTTGGACCGGAAGTCACGTTATTTTAATTCAAAAATTTTCTCCAGAGCGGAGTTAGATAGATGATAGTCATGACTCTATTGTAAACAGGAAAGTATCATGTACAGGGGCAAGACACTAAAATCGAGAGCTTATAAAAATTGCAGCAGGGCATTGGGATGATGTCACAATATACACAATATACAGTTGGTTGTTCTATGGTATTGTAAATAAATTAACATAGGTCATTTACAGAATAAGTTGCCAAAGCTAATTGGTAAAAAGAACGATTTAGGATCATCTTAAGAATTCACTACAGACAGCTGTTGTATTGGAGACACAAACTTGTTGCGATTGACACACTTTTTTTCTGTCTTGCAGTTTTTATTTTCATTTCTGTTTTTAAAGTTCTGCGTTCAATATTTTTTTCAATTCTCAATTGAATTAATCGTGGATATATAGAGTCTCTACGCGCCTTTCCTAAATGATCCGTAAGTCAATTGCCAACACTAGTCGTTATTCACTTCCATAACTTGAAAAAATAATCATGTTACCGTTTATAATCCATGTTTAGTAATCTGCAATGTATACTAAGTAACGTTATAATTTACGTGTGATATTGCACTTTAGTTTGAAAAAATGTAGCAATTACACTAACATCGGTCCACAGCACCGAAACGAAAGATTTTAAGATAAAACGAAATGTGGTATCCATTTACAGATATAAACAGTAACATGATTCAGGTAAAAGTACATGGGTATGCAGAAAAATCTGAGCATTTACACAAGAGATTTAGATCAATTTTATACTAGTCGATCTTACTGCATGTTAAATATTAATTTGTAACCACGGTATGCATTTCGGACAGACAAGCTGTCCCTCTTCGGCCGTTCCAATTACTAAATTACAAGTACAATAATATCTCGACTTACGCGAACCCGGAGTTACGCGATTTTCAAATCTCGTCGATTCGTCTTTTGTTTGAGTGCCACGCAACTCTCCATTACTCACTCCCCCCACACACTATTGTTCGGCTTACATGCTCGGACGTGTCGCGCGGAATCGACGCATAGCTACAATTTATTTTGTGTTTTGTTGTATTTATTTCTGTGTTTGTTATAGCTACGGAGACTTCAGAGACTCTATGTGGTGATTTCTTGTAACCGTGAACGAATCAAAAGACGAGATAAGATTAACGAGAACATTTATTAGCTTACATACATCCGACTTGGATTTTACACAAATTGCGAAATTATACCCCGACTTACGCGGTTATCGCTCGGTCCCACTTATCGCGTAAGTTCGGGGTACTACTGTATCTGAAAGGTAAAAGACCTTATTTTACAAACCGTACAATAACTAATTATATAACATTTTTTTTTTAAAGTAATTTATACATACGTAATCCATAATTGTAAATCCGTTTATCTTGTATCAACCTTCCTATTAACCATTTGTTTACCCGAAATGTAAAGAATTTAATTTTTTCGCCGTCTAAAATTTACATAATGATACATAATTACATTATAGGCTAATAAATAAAATTTAAAAAAACCTTTTTTAAAAATATACATACTTAATCTATAGCTATGTAGGCGTTAACCATACAGAGATTATTTTTCAAGCAATCCAATAAGGCTTTTCACGTCTTTTTATCATGTTTGTCTTACGAAATATTTCACAATATCCTATGTACATATTTTAACAATTATTCAGGCAATATTGCCAGCTAGATTCCAATAAAACATAGTGTTTTATACCAGCATCTATGGCATAGAATTTATCACCGACAATGAACTTACAATAACAATTAAATATAACGTTATAGAATATAACATAGGGAAAGTATGGTAATCAGTTAAATTTTTACCACGCCCCCAAGTTTTTCCATTTCTCGACGTTTTGATACTCAAAGAATTCAAAAATGAAAAAAATCCTTTACATTTTTAAATTTTAAATAAGTATTAGAACTTTTTTAAATTGTTAAAATTAAATGAAGTTGTACATTTAAAGTTTATTTGCAATGTTTTGCTGATCCAGAATATCTCAGTAGAAATACTGACAAAATCTGGGATACGTAATGAAAACAATACTGAAAAGAAAAACATTTACACTGAAACTATGGCGAAGAAAAAATTTAAAAAGTGATAATGACATTTTCTCTTACATTTATAATTGAATATTTCTCAAAAAAGAAAAAATTCATACTTTTGAATCCAATATCGGTGTTTAATGTATTTAATAATACCTGAAACTATGTAAAATATATTAATTATTATTATTAATATATATATTCATATNAAAAATATTGTTTTTCCATTACGTATAATATTTTCCTACCTTCGTCGTGTCGTTTCTGTCATCATTTTTGAAATAAACATCCATGTATAAAGTAATAAATCCTTGTATCTGAAATAATATAATAAATATGTTTGAAATATATATCAATTTTTAAAATCAAACCTAAGTTTTTTTCATAATTTAAAAATACTGTAGTTAAATATTTTAATAGTTTTATTCATTAATTTAAAAAAAAAAAACTAACTTACGTTTGATGGGATGATGGATAAAATACAAAAATATACAAGAATTATAATTTCTACTAAAATACAGAAGATGAATGAAAATAACAATTCAACCGTAAAGCGTTTGGATAATAATATATATATAATGATAGTATTAAACACGGGAATTACCGTTATTATACAAAATAGATGTACTTCTCGTAGAATACAATCCATCTTTTTTATGAAATAAAATATTAAATAAAATTCAATAAGTATTAATTTGTTTTGTAAAGTATATCTACCATTTATTTTATTTTTTACTTCTGTTTCAAACGTTTGCAACAGCCAAATAGGAAGATAAGTTAAAATGAAAAATAAACCTAATACGTAAAATATGGTACCTGCAACGATAACTGAAAGTATGGATACATGAAGAGTACAAATCAGTTCGTGTAATATCGAGTTATTTTCTTTAAAGAATCGAAGAAAGATATATATGATACTGAAAAATAATGAGATAATCAAAACAAAAAATGTGCTTATATAAGCCGTAATTTCTTGGAATTTTTTCAATCTCGAAAGCGATTTTATTTTACATTTTATGTTTTCGTCAATGAACTCTATGGCATTTCTTATCATCTTTGAATTCCAGTTAAATAATACGACGTAAAAGAGATTTGTTGTTATCGCTGCTAATGCTAAATAACGAAAAACTCCTGCGAATTTATTCCAGAGTTGAGGGACGGCACAAAAGCTCGAAAGCACATCACATTTAAATAAAAATGTCGATATTTCCCTTGGAAACAAAATGAAGATCAATACCGTTGATAAAATATACACTTCGATTAATATAATTGCTCTGAATATGTTATCGTTTCTTTTAAAAATGAATATTCCAAAAATCTGTAATATATTAATGTAAGGTTGTAGACATTCATAAACAGAACTATACATGACGAAAAATTTGTATTAATATCCACAGAAGCTTTCAAATTCGATGCTTCTTTTCTCACAATAAATGCGAGTGTTATGTTCACTGTCCACACAAATCGTTTACTTACATTAGGGCGATGTATTTTAATAGGAGTATTGTTAAGATTTTTAATGTAGTCCTTGAATAATCATTATAATAAATCATATGGTTTAAAGATAATTACACGATAGCAGTATGTTTACAATCAGTGAAATAATCTCTAAAATATAGATTTATCGATCGAGGTAATTACCAAACAAAATTTATAATATACGGTAATGGACTTATGATGGATTAATTTGCATTCGTTTATCGGAAAAATGTTAATTGCTTATGCCACTTACTGAATATACATTGAATCTGAATTTAGATTTGTCGTAATAACTAATATACAGGATCTAATTTCCGAAACAAATTTGGTATTTATACGCACTATCCTGAATATACTGTTTAGATTTTCGGGAAGAAAAATTTTAGTTTTAATTTCGATAAAAAGTTCATTTTATTGCAATTACAGGAATTTTGCTCAGGTGCTCTTTACGTTTCTTCTATGAAATGACACTAGATTCAGCTCAATGTGTACACTTACGTGTATGAATAGTTCTGGAGGTGTTCCAATTTAGAGTTTACGTGCATACTATATGTCGGCAGCAGAAGCAACGAATCATCACGCCATGGGCAAATTCTGTTAGACTAGATGTTACTTGTCGGAGAGATTAGTAAAAACAAGTTAGACTTGCGTAACTGGTTATATAACAAAGAAACGAAGAATACACTCGATGTGTTAAAGTTTGGGGGAAACGAAGAATACACTGTCTTGACTCACGGAAGGTCAGCACTGGAAAGGGGAGAGTGAAACGAGGTCACCGTATCTAACGGCTCCCCGAGGGGTCAACAGCGCCACCAACCTTTTATTACGTAACGGAAGAACGTTTACAAAACATCGCAACACAATGCGTTGTACGTAACGATGTCGTATAACATTAGATAATACAGTAATTTCGATCGTTGATTCCAACAGACAAATCAAGAATACTAGAGAGCAAAAGAAGTACTACAACCTCGAAACGAACCAAAAATCTTCCAGGCTACGAGTGAAAAAACACATAACATTTGTCTTCTCTTAAATGCATTAAACACGATTCCACTCGCATCTATTGAATCGGAAAGGGCCTTTTCGAAAGGGACATTTCATTACAAAAATAAGAGTCTGATCTAAGTTAGAAGTTTGATCAAGTTTTTTTTTTTTTTTTTAATTTTCAACTCAATTCAAAGTATTTTGTTGTTGTTGTTGTTTGCAGTTTCCAGCAAACTTTAATGAATTTTTTCTATTTGTGAAAATTTCTACGTAATTCAAAGGTACTTTTTAATATATATCTTAGCATTATTAATATGATTTTGGAAGTTGCAGAACGTATTAAATTACTTTAAAAAATGAAAAATAATTATATCATTCGATTTCATGATATTTTGTATATATTAAAAATAATTAATTCTATCCCGGAAACAGTTCACTTTTATCCCGGAATCCCAGGACAAGCATAAGAACGGGGAAATGAGAAACCTAGTTAATACCCAAAAAACGTCTCCTTGTACAGTACACGCGATACAAATGGAGTGAAGTGTAGTTATCTCCTCGAACCACAAGATTCTGCCACTAGATGGCAGAAGCTTGTCGCCAGTTTCCAGCCGAAGTTTCGACTATCGTCTATTTCCCATGCGGCACTTCAAAACGTCATCCGCCAACGCCCCTAGCAGTCAGCAAATGAAATGCTGATGAGCAAGCTATACAGAACGTTTGGATATGCTACTTCACTTTAATAAAAAAAAAATGTATTTCTCACTCGAAATGTTATTTAAAAATTGCAAACATAATTTTAAATAAAATTACGGGTTCTTTGGGCTTCTTTCGAAAATAATTTATTTAATAACCTTCAAAAATTTTCGCGGCAAATCACTGGTCTAGACGTTAAGTAATGGAAGTTTACACTGCGGCGGAGAGTATGTGAATGTTATCGTTTTTCCCACAAAAACTCCTTTTTTCGAGAGAGAGAATTAATAAAAAGTAAGGGGCAAGGCAGAAATCCTAAATCACATTCTGTATAGAAATACGCAAATTAATTAAAGATCTTATACGGTAGTTTATTAGATCCAACAAGCGTTACAGACATTACTGTATTTATGTAATATGATGATGATTTTGCTGAATGTCTGTTAAATAAATAAAAATATATAACTACATACAGTATTATATAATAATAATATATTTTTTTCAAGATTACTATTCCAATATTAAAAAATTAATTAAATGGAATATGATAAATCTAAGATAATTTCTTATCAACTTTTGTAACCTTGATTTTAGAACTGAAGGTGAGATAAACAGTTCATCTCATATTTTTCTGAAGTAAAATATGGATGCCAATAAACGTTTTCAGGTTTGTAAATAATTTTTTTTCTCTTTTGGAATTATTTATTTTCATCCACAAAGTAATGCTATTATAATATGTGATGACTCCTCCAGATCATGTAATTTTTATTTCTCTGAAATATCTTTAATTACTTACATTGTAAGTTTATGCAGTTGATTGGCATACACATTATAAAATAGGCATTGAGTGTTTGTTTGAATGACATAAAATAAATGGTAAATAGAACAAAATTAATATTAGGAAGAACATTTACGTCCTTGCACCCCTTTGGTTATGCCATAGATTAAAAGGAGATGACAAGTGCGAAAGATTTTGCATTCTACACCTGAAGATTGCCTATTAACTAACTAGAAGACATTAGCATTCATCCAAGTTTCTCCTTCATTTGCTGTTAATGGTGCGTCGATTAATTCAGATCTTGATATGACATTCCTGCAGAAATAAATACAAGCTATTGCAGTGGATAATTATTTTCAGAATATTTAAAATTCCTAAATTCCTGAAAATATTTTATAATTAACTGTATTGTAGAAATTCATATACTCAGTAGAGCTAGGAGAAGAAAATTGGAAAAGATGAGTAAAGTTCAATTTATATTGAGGAAAAGGGGATTGTAAAAATACTAAAAACTCGTTTCTATTTTTGTTGTGTAGTCACTCATCAAGTATATTGTAAAATTTTTCAGTAATATATTGTTAAATTGAAAAATATTTTACTATAATTAATTCTACATTCACTATACTACATTCTATCAAGATTCGATCTGAACTATTGATAAGAGGATCCTGATAAGATACTCTTATATCAATATATATTTCGTTAATTTACTAAGGAAATAACTTTATAATTTTTATCGATTTATATACTTTGCGTATTCATTTATATTGTTATTTTTCTGTAGTTTCATTTCATATACTTTAGGTTTTTCTGTTGTCTTTCCAGGCCCACGCCAATGGTCGCATGGAACACTGGGGTCGTGGGTTTGCGCCTGAACAACGGGTTAGTCAGATAGAATTTTTCAGGTTTTCTTCACCTAACTAGGGTCAGATTTCCATAGGAAGTCCTTCCGAGAGACATCCGCCTTGGCACCAAATCATTTGCATTGCTATATCCCATAAAAACCAAGCCAAACCTCTTTTCCCCCTAAGAATACTAAGATAGCCTTTTTTCCAATTCTAACACGATTATAAGGAACAAGAATACTAACATCATTCTCAGAGACCGTTGTAAAGTTAGAATGTTTTTGATCATATAGATTTTTTTAAAACTTTTTCATGGCCATTCGATGTCATTACTTTGATTCTGATGTTATTGTTCTGTTGTAATATTGAAGGAAAAGCTTGAATGTTGTAATATTTTGCAGTTTTATCTTAGTTATAAAAGTCAATAAATATATATTGGACTGCATTACGAAAATTGCATTCAATATTTATTTATTGACTATTGTAAATGAAATATAAATTCACACTGGAGTCTGTTTGTCTGTCCTTTCTTAATCTGTAGAACGCAGTTAGATGAAGTCGAGAACAGATATGNTTTTTTTGTACTATATTAAAAACTAAAATTTATTTGTTTGTAAGCTTAAAATAGATTTTTATTAACCATATATTATTTAAAATGCTTTCCTAGTGATAAGTAGATTCGGAGACAGGTAAATTCGACTTACGTCGTTTTTCGACTTACGTCGTTTTCCTGGAACCAATTACCGACGTAAGGCGAGGTATACCTGTACAGTGAACACTCCAGTTTGCTAAGGATGTGTCTAAAAATTGTTCCTGTGCATGATCAAGTCACATGGTTGCACTAAAATCTGTCAAAAAATGGCTCACACTCACATCTAAAAATGACATATACTCTTCTAACATCACAATCTGATGCACTGAAAAGCCCAGTGAAAAGACTGTGTAATGTGTGCTTGATAAAGATGAAATAGCAGATCCAATCAATTATAAAAATTTTATTCTATCAAACAAGAAATATCCATTTAAATTTATTTTAAAATCTATTATAAAATAATTTATTAAAAAACATTCAAACTTTTAAGCATTTTATGATAAAGTGAATTTATTTATTTATTTATTTAATTGCTTAATAATATAATATAATTAAATTTTATGAAGTTTAATTAAGAGATTTAATTAGAACTTACTTTGGAATAAAATGAAGATAGTTTGAGTATTTTAAAATTGGAGCAATGATGTCATATTGGAAGTAGAGTGGATAGGGATATTGCTTCCCATTCTTCCCACTTTCCAATCATGAGATATGATCCTGCATTACTGATGGCCCACTCGTAGGTTGGCATCTCTGCAAATTTAGCCAGACTGTTTTTAAATGCACATGGACAAAGACAAAGCCTAATGATTCTATTCTTGGTCACTCAGTTATTTTCTTATCTTTGTTTTGCATGAGTCTCGCTATTGAATCTTGCTATTGTCTTTTCATCACCTCATCACTTTATAATTTATAAAAATCTTTTAATACAGAAATTACCATCTGGGTGAAGTTTTACAAAATTTATAAGAAATCATTGCTGCTTTCTTTAGAAGCAATTGTAGAGCATACTAACTTTTGGTATATAACTTGCACCATATTGCTGTAAACAGTTAATTACCATAAAAATAGATGATTATCAAAGTGAATCATGTTGGTGATAATTCAGCTTTAGACAAAAGTGTACAAAGAATTTTGTATTATTGCTATGTTATGAATTTAATAATTTTTCTGTAAGTACAGAACAACCTTTAAATCTAATGATTTTAAAGCACTGGAAATTTTTGACAATAAAATGGAAAATTCATGAAAATTTACAATGACAAACTTCTGTGAACCCTGTCTAGATCAGCATTACTACAGTATGTACCACATTAGAATTTTTTAAAATTTATTCTTTATTTTTGTTTAATTTTTCCATTTTTTTAAGTAAAAATAAAGGCCGATAAACTTCTGAGAACTTGTTAGCCTTTGCAGTCAGCAAATGAAATGCTGATGAGCAAGCTATACAGAACGTTTGGATATGCTACTTCACTTTAATAAAAAAAAAATGTATTTCTGATTTCTTTATTGGAAAAACAAATATATTTGCTAAAATCTATATACAAAATTTTACTCCTAAATAATGGTACTGAAAAAAAAATATTGCATGTCAGTTAATCTATGTATTTTTATTTATTTTTATACATAATCTCCATTCTGATCCAATACACATTTGTCATTGTTAAGTTTGAAAATATTTTGTGTTAGAAATCTGTTTCAATANAACTATTTTACATACTACTAATTAATTTAAAGTATGATACATGCATCATGCTGCAAAATTAAACTGTAAAAATTACTTTATTATTCAGTAAAATACGATATACTATATGAGAATAAATATAATTTAATGTCATTTACTTTAATTTTTCTATTTCAGAAAGCAAATACTAAATTATTAATTCGTAATGGTTTAATTACAAATGACGATGCTTCGTTCAGTGGTGATGTCTATGTAGAAAATGGAATTATATTGTAAGTATATTGTAATAAAGTAGACTCTCCCATATCCAAACTAATGTGGGTGAGAGTGATCTGGATATTAGAAAAATCCAAGTAAGAGAGTGAGAATTTTTAAACAAGACTGTAATATAAATGCTTACTGTATGTATAAAAATTGTTTATTTTGACTTTGACACTTATTTTTGACAATTACAATTAATTTTCAAAATATTGTGTTAAAGTTGTTTGTTTTGTTCTCAATTTGCTGATGAGCTGCTACATCATACCAATGCCTCATCATCATCACATCAGTGATGGTTGATGCATTATGTTCTTCTATGAACTTCAGTTCAACTTTAACAAAAATTTTTTTAAATGTACACACTGCAGTATGGAAAGATTTCAAGTAATATATTTCAAGTAATATTTTCAAAAATTTTTGCTCGTCTTTGATCAGTCCAGATAAGAGAGGAACAGATGTGGGAGAGTCTGCTGTGAATTTAATTATAGTTTGTCCTAGGACATTTTAAATTTTATGATATATTTTTACAGGATGAGTCAAAAGTCTCTTGCATCCTTTTCATTCCAAAAGTACTAAAGATATATTGATTTTATTAGCATAGTTATATAATAAGTTGTTAATGGGTTTAACTTTGTCTTACTGTCATGTTTGACCACTATGGGGCACTTAAGTAGTGGCAGACATATTGAATAAATTAAAATGCTTCAATGTCCTTTTTCTTACTAAAATATAAATTTTCATCTATAATAACGTATCTTCTATTACCAGGACTTATTATACTGCCAGTATAATAAGTCCTGGTAATAGAAAATACGTTATTATAGACAAAAATTTATATTTTACATTGAATAAAGATATTGTTTAGCAACTAGAGTTTCTTGTGTGATAATTAACATAAGTAATGTACAGTACAAGAATCTGACAGGATTTTTTGTTGATCTGGAAAATGATCTTTAATATAAAAATGACCTTAAGATTACTTTTTTGTAACTTTTTAATGAACAGAGACATCATAAAAGTTCTAATGACAAAGTAAAGAGCATCATTTAATTAGCCTAAAACCATTTTCTAGATTCAGATAAACACATTTAGGACTGCATAATTTGCAGCTTTAAATTTATAAGGAGTAATAAGTAATTTTGTTTTATGTTATTTTGAAAATCATTCAAGACTGGCTTGATGGGTGAAGTGACAATGCTCTACCTCAACTGGCAGAATGACCAAAAATGTTCAAAAGAAGGAATAGTAAATAAAAATAATAAACCTAATACAGTGAAGTTACATAAATGTAAAGTTGTTTATAAATAGTTCAAACAAGAATGCAAATGCTAGAAGACTTCTCTATGGCAATTGTTCTGGGAGTAAGGGTGGCCAAAATTGATTTTGACCAAGTACAGTACATAAATGCTACCATCAAGCTAATGCTGCACCAAGCATCCATGCCAACCATATACTGTACAGAACAATTCTCCCAATGCACATTTATATTGGTGTGTGCTTAGCTGTGCTTTTGATGAAAATATCTGCATTATTATCAAAATTAATTTCCTTGATAAGATCAGATTCAATTTTCAACAAAACTAAACAATTTAATTTTAGGTCTTCCACATGCTTACTTGGGCAAGCCTACTTACTATATCAAAATTTTAAAGAATAATTTATATTTACTCTAATGTTGATATATTAACATATTTACTCTAAGATGTTATATTTTATAATTTATTTTTTGTATAAAATCATTAAATGCAATGAATAATTAAACTCAATTAAAACAGATTTATGATCTGAAGAATTATTATAAGAAATTTAATAAATAATGTTTGTAAAAGTTTTTTCATGAGAATTATCAATATATTTTTTGTCAGTATACAATGGAATTTTGTTTTACATAGGATTGATATATGCAGATTTGTGTTTTTGCAGATGGCAAATAATTAGGTTAATATACTCCTGGTGCCACTGAAACAAATCATTCTTTTTCAGATTTTGATATTTTGAACATGAGAAGTGCTGAATACTACTAACTTTAGTGAATACTCTAGTTTGCATGTACTGTATTTTTTCTCAAGTATTGGATACAATACAGTAAAATAAAATTTTGCTTTGTATATTCAAAAATATCAGACTAAATTGTTATTCTTTATTACAAAAACATAAATGTATTTAAACATTTTTCTGCCAGTTGTAAATGATTACATGTCTAGACAGTCAGCTGGGACTATTTGGAAACGAATACAGATTTACTTGGAATTTCATTTTACACAGTATCTGTTGATTCACAACTCTTGCATAAAACAACACTGTACTGTATTTGCAATAAAATATGAATTAAAAAATTAAAACTTTTATTCATAGAAATCTTTTCATTTTTAAATAGTTCCTATTATAATTACATGATGTAATAATTAAGTTATTTTAAAATAAATTTTAGAAAGATTGATAAGAATCTAACCGTCTCATCAGACACTAAAATCATAGAAGCAAATGGAAATTATGTAATTCCAGGTAAATAACTATTTTTTGTGTGATAATAAGATATTTAATTATTATAATTCCTTATTTATTAAAAATTATTAGGTGGTATTGATCCTCATACTCATTTCCAGTTCCCATTTATGGGAACAGTAACTATTGATGATTTTTATTCTGGAACCAGAGCAGCTTTAGCAGGAGGAACTACTATGATAAGTATGTCAAAATTAAATAATTAGAATGCAAATATAAAATAATATGAATTTACATATATATGTATTTCATTGCAGTTGATTTTGTAGCAGATAAAAATTCTTTATTGGACGGCTATGAGAAATGGAGAAGCTGGGCTGATGAAAAAGTTTGTTGTGATTATAGTTTACATGTTGTTGTTGCATCTTGGTCAGATAAGGTGAAAAAAGAAATAGAAATTTTAGTAAAAGAAAAAGGTACATACTAATAACAAACTAAAATTTATATATAAACACATTATATTGTACTGTAGTATACAATATATGTTAAATTCATATTTCACAAAAAATATTTAAATATGTCAGAAGTATTTATCTGACCTTTTTAAATATGTAGGCTGTTTTTTTTTTCAACCTCCAATGGTCCATAAAAAAAAACAAGTGTAAATAGCAAAATGAATTTATTACCAAAAGTTAGAGACAAGCATGGTTACTTTTCAACATAATCACCATGAAAATTGAGGCATTTGTCATATCTGTGGATGAGCTTTGCAATCTCCTCTTCATAGAATGTTGCTGCCAGTGACTTGAGATGGGCCTTAAAATTAATGTTGTTTTGAAGATCATCATTAGTCTCAAACCTCTGCCCTCCTACCATGTTTTCAATTCAGGAAAGAGGTGGAAGTCGCTCGGCACTAAATCGGGACTATATGCTGGGTGTTTACAAAGTTCCAAGCTGGGTGGAAATCTTCACACCTTTAATGTGTGAAGACTACCACCTCTTTCCTGAACTGAAAACATGATTAGGAGGGCAGAGATTTGGGACTAATTATGATCTATAAAACAACATTAAGGCCCATCTCAAGTCATTGGCAGCAACATTCTGTGAAGAGGAGATTGCAAAGCTCATCCACAGATATGACAAATGCCTCAATCTTCATGGTGATTATGCTGAAAAGTAACCATGCTTGTCTCTAACTTTTGGTAATACATTTTGTTATTTACATTTGTCTTTGTTCTATGGACCATCGGAAGTTGAAAAAAACTATCCTCATATATAGATATTTCAATTTTATGAATATTTTTGATTATTTGAATTTTCTAATTTTTAATATTTAAATGATAAAGTCAGATTCATTATTAGACTTTAACCTTTGTAATTAAAAATACAGATATATTAATTTGGACTAAAGGTAGTCAAATAAGTCACATTTTGTATTAAATTTAATAGTTTGAACTAGAAGAAAAGATTGATCTAGAGCAGGACTTAAATCTGAAATTTCTTGACTTCTTTCTGATCTTCACTTCCAGACCAGTTAATTTAGCAGATATAACCATACTGGTCATGTCACGCCCTATCAACTGGGGATGATTGACCGAAGGTCCTCCATGACACTCAACTAGGGTTTCCAACTGTTTGGAATTTTACAAACTATACAGATAAAGTGTAAAAATTGTTCACAAATATTCTGAGAAATGAATGATATGTTACATAGAATCAAACATTATTTGCATAATGACAATATACCCTTCAAATAAACTTCAAAATCAAATGATATGTTCCTTTTTTAGCTTGTCCCTTTTTCATCATGTAAAGTTGGAACCTCTAATTAATCCAAATTATTTTCTGGTTTGCATAAACATACTACTCGTTTACATTTTTTTTTTGTCTGTCTCACTCTCTTGTGGACACTAAGAAGGCTTCCTTTTAAGCCCATCATGGGATCAGCCAGGTCCACAACAGAGGTGACAAAAATGGCAAAGAACAAGTGCCTGATATATTCAGAATGTATTACCCATGAAAAATTCCTGGGGTTGTTCACCCAAATTCAAACAGTCTATTGTAGTGTGAGAACAATATACTGATTCCTTTACCATCTCAGCCATCATCATCAATGGAAGGAAAAAATGTTCCCAAGTTTGATCTTAGCTTTTCTTTTCTTCAACATTCTTTCAGATTGGTGGTGGTTTTTCTACCACCAATTTGTTCAGAATTTGCTACTCTGAAAATTGGCAACTCTGTACTCAACTGACTTAATCATACAGAACACTCACCATGTATGCTTACAATGGACCTGTATGGCATCAATTATATCTAATTAATATAATATAATTTGGGCTTGATTTTCTGTAGTTCTAATTTTCAACGTGTTTTTATATCTTACTTCACAAATTATAAAAATTTATTATAATATGTAATTAAGTTATATTTAGCTAAAATTTCTTTACAGTAAGTAATATTTTTAGATTCCTGTAATTGTTAACACTATAACTGACAAATATCTAGACTTGTATGTAGAATTGCTAATGTTGGTCACTTTGATCAAAGTACATAAACAGTCAACTTATTTATATAATGAAAAATTTTATTAATAGAGAGTATACAATTTAAATTAATTTAGTGATAGATATATTTATAATGTAAATTAAAGTTTGGAATATATTAGTACAAAAATGCACTTGTATTTTTAGTAAATAATGAATTTATTATGTGTTTTTACATTTTGTACTACCTTGTATGTACAAAAAGCAAAAATTACACAAAAATATATTTTTTGTAAAAGGTGCTCATATTATGGTACCCTTGTCAGCTGTTAATAATTTTGTTGGCTTCAGACCAATAACTAAATGTTACTATTATGTTACTATTTCCGCTATTTTCACTTACATTCCTAAAAAGTGACAAAGTGACAAAAAATAAATTTTCCGAAAATCTTTGATTAGAAAAAGATAAAATGTGAAGAATAAATAAAGTAAACCATTATAATAATGCAAAGTACAGTTTTTATATCAACTTTAAGCCTGGTTTGGCAGTTTTATAGAGAATTACATATAATACTTACAATTATTTTTAATGAAAAAATATATATAATTAGAAAAATGTTACATAAAAACTTTTAAAATATTAGAAATGTAAGAATAAAATATTAATGGTAAAAAGATGAAAAGTTAAAGATGGTCAGAATAAGTAGTTTAGTAGTTCTAGTATTAAACTTAAATAATATTCAAATTTAAATTTGAGGCTATCCTCAGAATATGAATTTAACAATATTAATTTATATATTCTGAGGATGGCTTATATATTAAAAAAAAATATACTGTTATAAAGAAATTTTTGCTGAAATATAACAAAAATTTAGTTTTTCCAGTTACCTTTATTGAGTAGTGATAGACAGGAATTCATTTTTCAGGCATCCTGTGATCTGACAAAGATTTTTATGATTTTCTCAACTGCAGTTTTGAAATAATACAATTTTTAACCAAGATTTTAATTAATAAAAAAATATTAGAAAAAATTTCTGTAATATAATATTATTTAATATTTTGATGACTGATAAATTATACTGTATTTTAAATGAAATAAATATAAATGCTTTATTTACATATTATTAATGTCATACAGAGTATGACCAATCGATCATTTTATAAACATTGATCTAGTCACCAAGCATATGTTTGAACTTTAAATGACAACCGAAAATATTGCTGATTCCCTGCAAAGAAATTTTAAAAAAGTTGAAAAACAAAATGAATTAGTTTTTAATTTACAGCTTCTTTAAGAACTATGGTACTTCTCAACCAATTTGATTACTTCTAAGATTTTTTTCATTTCATATGATTCACAAAATTTTTGTTATATTGTTTTTTTGATATAAATTTAAATTTTTCATTATATAATATATAATCAATATCTTCTTCCCCTAACTCTGTATTATCCATAAAGCTTTTCTTTTGGCATTTCTTGCAATGTAACTCCCACAGTTGGTAAGTGATACCTGCAATTAAAATTACAGTTATTTTATATATTTTTTATAATTTATTCTTTAATATTTAAAATATAAAACTGTAATAATGTTAATGATTTTATAATTTTTGTATACATATATATTTTTTTTAATTAGGAATTAATTCCTTTAAAATTTTTATGGCATACAAAAATAATTTGATGTTAAAAGATTTTGAAATTCTAAAAGTGTTTGAAACCTGCAAAAATGTTGGGGCACTAGCATTGGTTCATGCTGAAAATGGTGACATCATTGAAGAAGTAGGTTTTGAAATACTATATAATAACTTTTCTATAAATATGTTAATACAGTTATTAAATATTAATAGAATTATTTGAGTTTGGTATAACTTTTTACATGCAATCATGTAAAAGAAATGGATTAAGGTTAGGTTTTAAATTTAATAATTAAAAAATTGTTTTATACCACTTTAATACACTGGTGTGCAAAACTTAAGCAACAATTGTTTTTTTTTTGCTGTAAGTTTTCAAGAAATCATCTGGGAGACACGAAATTCAGAATACAGAGACAGTATTTTATTCTTAAGGGTGAAGAAAGCATACTAGCAGAAAAATGAACAGAACACATACAGTATGGAATCAAAGCCTTTTTACTGTAGTCTTGCACTGCATGCACTGACTGCATGCTTTCATGTCACCTGTGACGTCTTCTTTCTGAATATGAATCATATTTCTATTGAATTGGGTGTCCATTGTATTGATCGCAACAAGCCTTTCTACAATTTCATGGCTGTCTGCTTAAAAATTACAGTATTGCTTAAGTTTTGCACACTAGTGTACATATACTATATTGATAGCCTATTGAGTGAAAAACTCATAACACAAAATTTGCAACATTTGTAGAAACACAAGAAATGAGCAATTAATTATTGTGACATTGTCACAATGCCAAGCTGCAATTTTTGATCATATTTTAATTTTAAAAATTATGACTTCTGGTCTAGATCAGAAGTTTATATATAGTTAATTAGGGTCTCTGGCCTCTAATCTTTCCATATCTGGTCTCTATTTTCATTTATTTAACTCCTTGAGATTAACAGAAAGACAAATGACAATGGGAATCTATAGGTCTGCAATTTTCAAATTGAAAGTCCAAAAATTTTGGATTTGAACACTTAAAAAACTTAATGATTTTAAAATGTTGGCTTTAATTTTTCAGTGTTAAAGCATAGGTGTTTTTGGACTTTAAGGGGTAAACTTGACTTAAAGCTTAGAAAATAATTTCAGGACTTATGAAGTTTTCACTCTAGGCCATTTGATATATTTATAATTCTTACATTATAAACATTCCTCTGATTTAATTTGATTTGAAAAACTCTTTTCAACTTCAATAAAGGGTGAAAATGTTATTTGCAAACAAAATAATATATAAAACTTAGAATTGAAATTTGTTTATGAATTATTTCAGTAATAAAAATTAAATACAATTAGTTAGTTAAATAGTTTTATATAACTAATGCAGTTGTTTTAAAATTCTATCTTTACAATAAACAAGTATTATTTAAATCTTGAGTTTTTTAAAGCAAACATCAAATATTTCATAAATTCAAATTAAACATTAATTTTTTCTTATACTGAAATTTATATCTTATGAAATCCTTAACTGATTTGTTATCTTGAACTTTTTTAATTTTAACAACTTCATACAATAATCTAAAATTTTTGATTTAAATAAGTTTTATAGTAATATCTAATAACTAAAAATCATTATAATGTCTTTTTATAACAGAATTCTAAAAAATTACTAGAAATGGGAATTACTGGCCCTGAAGGGCATTTATATAGCAGGCCAGAAGAAGTAAGTATGCTGTTATAAAATAACTTTAATTATTTTAACTATTAATTTAATATAAATATATAGGTTGAAACTGAAGCAACACACAGAGCAATAGTTTTGGCAAATCAAATGAATTGCCCTTTATATGTTGTTCATGTTATGAGTAAAAGTTCTGCAGATATAATAGCTGAAAAAAGAAAGAGAGGTAAAAATTTTTACATTGCTTAATTAATTAAAATCATGATTTCAATTATTTATAATTTCAATATATATTTTTAAAATATAATTCTCTTTCTATAGGAAATATAGTTTTTGGTGAAACTCTTGCAGCGAGTTTAGGAACTGATGGAACACCATACTTTGACAAATGCTGGCATCGATCAGCAGCTTATATTATGTCACCTCCTCTTCGACCTGATCCTACAACACCTCCATATCTCATGGATTTATTAGCAAGGTATTAAAACAAAGAGTTTATTTTGTTATTGCTTTTAGAAATTCTTTAAAGCTAGTAATAAAATTTTTGATTTCACGTAATGTATAAAAAGAACTTTTTATCGATAAATAAGTTTGGAATATTTACAAAAATCTAATTGAAATTCATGAAACTATTTTCTTTAAATCCTGTGATAATAGATTAAAAAAATGTATTTCTGATTTCTTTATTGGAAAAACAAATATATTTGCTAAAATCTATATACAAAATTTTACTCCTAAATAATGGTACTGAAAAAAAAATATTGCATGTCAGTTAATCTATGTATTTTTATTTATTTTTATACATAATCTCCATTCTGATCCAATACACATTTGTCATTGTTAAGTTTGAAAATATTTTGTGTTAGAAATCTGTTTCAATAGTTCACACAAAATGAAAAACAGCTTGGATTACTTCATAATTTTTTTAAATGCTGACTTTCCAGCTGCTTCTTTTATGAAATCAAATCGGAAAATATCTAAATAGGCCAAATCTGCACTGTGTTGGGAATCAGTTCAGTTTCTGGTCACTCAGCAGAAATCAACAGATTCAATGGGAACAAACTTTGTGATATCTCTAACTCTTCACCATTGCTTGCACTATATGACAGCTGATTCCAAAATGTGCAGTAATTACTACATGTTGATTCTCTCTTATAGGAGCATCAAATTTGTCTTACTTGATTCCTTTAGAATCATCCTACAGTTAACTACTGTATGACTAATCTATAATGTCTGTTTAACCCATCATCTGATTCTCTAATGCTACAAACACTTATGAAAACTTCTTTATATGCACGTTTTAGTCTTTGGTGACTAGCAACTGTAAAAATCTTTATCCTTAATGAGGAATTTAATACTCCACATTGTCAAAATAACATGAAGCTACCAGCATTTTCTCATCATATTGTTTTGACATGGCTGATGCAAGTGATATCATTTTATATTGCAGAGAAAGATGAGAGTACCACTACTAGCTAGACATAGTTTTTTTTTTATTGCTATGGCTATTATATATTATAATTCATACATTATAAACATTCCTCTGATTTAATTTGATTTGAAAAACTCTTTTCAACTTCAATGAAGGGTGAAAATGTTATTTGCATACAAAGTAATATATAAAACTTAGAATTGAAATTTCTTTGTGAATTATTTCAGTTATAAAACTTCTTTATATGCTAACATAGTATGATGTTAGCATTACTCTTGGTACAATTTTTTCTGTAAATGGTCATTAGAAAATCAATTTTGATGAAAGAAATTTTAAAAATTTTATCTCAAAAATAGTTTTATTCTCTAATAATTTTATCTAAAATAGTATGAGATTGTTATTTCTCTCATGATATATAAATATCATAATAGAAATCTCCTATACAGACTGATTTCTTAGGTGAGGCAAGAACTGAATGAAATTTTGTTTATGGATTTCAAACATTTTTCATACTTTTTCATACTTTTGAAAGTGTGTAATGAATATCTTATGAATAAATTAACTAATTAGACTTTTTGTAGAAAAAGTCTGATATTCCACATATAAGGACATTAATTTTTACATCTAAAGTATTCATATCTGCAGTGTATAAACATTAATTTATGTTTAGATTTTATGAAATTTTTATATTTGAATAGATCTTATATTTTACTATAAGATCTATTCAAATATAAAAACTTCATTAAATCTTAATCCTTGATTATGTAAAATTTAGATGATGTAAAATTTAAATCAACTGTTGCTCAATTTAAGGCTAATCTCAGATGTTTAATAAAAGTTTTAAATTGTGTTTCTTTATATGTGATTAGAAATCATTCATAAATTCAATAATATAGATAATATTACATCAGAATCTTCAAACAGATTCAGTATTAATTATATTAAAATTTCTGAGTTAATACTATTTTAGCAAGAGTTAGTTTTGCAAAATTTTCTTGGAATGTCTTCTGTCTAGGAATTATTGGAATGATTTTGAGAAATAACAATAATGATGTTGATTGTAAACTGATTAAACATAAACACATTTTACTTAATAGAAATGTAAATTATGAAAAATTTTAATTCATTCTAATTGATTATATACAAAGGCTTGGTACCATTATGATGTTAAGAGAATAAAATACAACTATATAACTGTATTTTATTCTCTTAATAACCACATAAATTTTGTCTAAGGCTAATTTTCAAAATCAAAGATAAAACATGGCAATGTTATAGATCAGGGGTCGCCAAACTTTTTTAACCGTCGACCCCCAACCACTTTCCAAAGCCTTACATTGACCCCACCATAAAGTTTTATTACAAGTGTATGTGTATGAGCAAAGAAAAGAAAAGAAAAAAAAAACGTTGTGGTCTCTATATAAGCAAAAAAAAAAAAAAAAAAACAGGTTGTGACCCCTTAGCCACATCGACTTCTCAATCGACCCCCTAATCGACTCCCTAGCCGCATCGACCCCCCAATGATGTTGCATCGACCCCTGGGGGTCGATATCGACCACTTTGGCGACCCCTGTTATAGATGATGACTGTGTCTGCAGTCATCATCTATATATACATACTATATATATAATAGTAACATTAAGTCACATTGCTTTAACATAATCCCAGAAGCTCAGTATAAAATATCACATGCTGAGAATATTGTTGCATTCCATTTGGGGAATACTACTTCCAATCATTTATTTACATTTTCAGATCTTAAAAAGTCATAAATTCTCTTGTTACTTCCACCTACAGTCCTGATTGAATTCCATCTATTTTTTTAAAAGACTTGCTCCCTTGATGGCCTCTTTGTTCATTCCTCTTTTCCACAAATTTTGGACTCCAGTTATATTCCTCCCAAATGGTCCCATTCTGTGATTTCTGTCATTCCCAAAAAAGAAATAAAATCCTATTGTTTGATTACATTAGCTTTGACAATGTTAAAAATAATAATACAATAAATATAAGTACAACTTTTAACCAAGAAAAAAGCTTTGTTTCAGTCATTTCCTTCCATTGTTCGCACCATCAGCAGTTCATAAAAATCACAAAAACCTCATGGAGATGACCTTCCTTTGTAGGCTGCTGCCTCCATAGTAAATATGCAAAAAATGATAAAAGTGTCATCTGGTGTTCTTGCCACAATAATATTATTTTTACTTAAAATGTATTGTGATTGTGGCAAGAACACCAGATGACACTTTTATCATTTTTTGCATATTTACTATGGAGGCAGTAGCCTACAAAGGAAGGTCATATCTGTGAGGTTTTTGTGATTTTTATGAACTGTTGATGGTGTGAACAATGGAAGGAAATGGCTGAAACAAAGATTTTTTTCTTGGTTAAAAGTTGTACTTATATTTATTGTATTATTATTAAATAACTGTTGGCCATGTTAAACTTATTATTTTTAATGTTAAAAATATTTGAAACATTGTATGAATTTTTGTATTTTCCAATTACTTCTCTTTTATGTCCAGTCCAACATTCAGGTTTAGACCATCACTCCATGACAAGTAACCTCCTTGAAACACAGCATTACATTTTATTAAAATTTTGACTTTCTACTTATGTAATATGTATTGACATTGCTAAGGCTTTTGACTCTGTTGTCCCTAGTACCCTATTGGATAAATAGACTTTTGAATTTGATGATAAAATTTTAATTTAGATTAATAATTTTTTCTGTATTGCTCCTGTTAAATTAAAATTTCAGACTTTTACTTTACACACTTTTGGTGTCCCTCAGGGATCTATATTTAGCAATTTACTATTTATAGCCTACATTAATCCATTTCTCGAATCACCTGTTCTTTTGTAAATGCTTATGCTGATGACATAAAACTTGCTAATTATTGTCATAACTCATTGCAACATGATATTGATGATCTTAATGCTTCATTTAAGACCCTTAACTTACATATTAATGCAAGTAAAACCAAAATTATGATTTATAGTCTGATTAGAGCTTATCTTCACAATACTTTTTATATTGATAACCACATTCTTGATGTAGCTGATACTGTTCAGGATCTTGGTGTCGTTTTTGATTTAAGATTTTCCTTTAAATATCATATAGAGCTATTAACTAAAAAAATCTCAATCCATAGGGGCATGATGTGGAGAAATTTCAAAGCAATTTCTAGTAAAAGTACAGTCTGGGCACTTTTTTACTAATATATCAATACAAACCTTAATAGATTATGCTCTACCTATTTGGGCTGCTTCCATTTTGAATAAATTGCTTAGAATTAGCTAAAGTTTACCTCCTCTGAAATAAACTAGTAAACATTTGTCTAAGTGATTCTCCCAAGGTTGCCCGCATTTACCTAAGTCTCTCTGATTTTTATAAATGCATCAATTATTTTGTTTGAATTTATTCCTACAAATATTTTAATGGTCTTCTCTCTCCTAAATTTCTTTTTATACATGTACTTTTTAATTCTAGAGATATATGTTTATACTCCCCATACACTTGTTTCAATGTTATGCTTAAATCTTTCTTCTTCAGGTATCAAAAGTCTGTTATAATTATTGAATAATTTTACTTTTCTGGATCTTCATAGATTTAAATTCATCTGTAAAAAACTCTTTATGTTTGATCTACTCACTAATTCACATGCCATTTTGCAAAAATGTTCTTTTTATATGTTATACATGTTCAATTTTATTCTTCGGGATTGTTATGTTTGTTATTCAGGGGATCAGCCATTTTTGTCATTACAACATTACTGTAAGTCATTGTAAAATAAATAAAATGTTTCCATTAAAAAGTTTTGTAAATTGTGTTATTTAATTATTAAACATTTAAGTACAGTTACAGTACTTAATATTTACAATTTTAATTGTCAAAAGTTGTTTTTTGTAAAATAACAAAAGATATTATTATTATTATTGTAAATGAAAATATAATATAATACATTATTTTTTTAAGTGGCGATTTGCAAACAACAGGTAGTGACAACTGTACTTTTACTATGGAACAAAAAGCTTTGGGAGCAAATGATTTTACTAAGATTCCAAATGGAGTAAATGGAGTTGAAGACAGAATGTCAGTTATTTGGGAGAAAGGAGTGGTAAGTAGTAAACATCTTAATAAACTTAATTTTATATAAATTAAATTTATTTTTGAAATTCTATATTTATTAACAATAGATGACAGGTAAACTTGATCCATGTCGTTTTGTAGCAGTAACTAGTACAAACACAGCTAAAATATTCAACATCTATCCCCAAAAGGTAAAAGCAAATAATTTTAGATCTTTTAAATGAATACTCTCATTTACTGATTCTAATTAAATTTATATATTAGGGTCGAATTCAAGTGGGTTCTGATGCAGATATTGTTATTTGGAATGGTGATAAAACTCGAACCATTCAGGCAAAGACTCATCATCAACTAGTGGATTTTAATGTTTTTGAAGGAATGACATGTCATGGTGTTCCTATTTATGTTATATCAAGAGGAAGAGTAGTTGTGGACAATGGAAAGGTAATTTTTTAAATGGAAATAATGCTTTTAACATATGAAATAACAATTTTTATTTTGTTTAGTTAAATGTTAATCCTGGTACTGGTCGTTTTATTCCAACTCCATCATATTCTCCTTATGTTTATACACGAGTACAACAAAGAGAAAAAGTATATGTAACATTTTTTTCTTTTATATTACTATCATTACTATTTATATCAGTTTATTATAATTTACCTTATTTCTCCTGTAGTTTAGACAGCCTAAAAAAGTTGATCGTAATTCTATTGGTTAATTGGAGATTTAATATCTTATATACAGGTAATATTCTAATATACTACTTTCTAAAATATCTAATTTATTGTTGAAATATATTTAAATTTTAGGATTGAACACATTCATGAGGATTTGAATTTTAATTATACTTGGAAAGAAGACATTTTTATATAATAATGAATCAAAACATTTTTAAAATAAAATTTTAAAATTCATTATACAATATATTATATAAACATACATATTATAATATATATTATATAATTTTTGTATT